CCCGCGGCACAGAGGCCAGCGGGGACCGCGTCCGAGGGAGACACGGGCCCTCGATTTCGAAGGTGCACACTTTCCACAGAAACGGCCGGCCGTGCCGCCGGGAGACTCGCCTGTAAAGCCCGAGGAATAAACGTGTGATGGTGTAGGGGAAAAAAAAAAGAATTTCTCAACTAAAAAATAAAAACAAAACATTTCCGTGAGAACTATCTCATTTTATTAGAAAAGACAGGAGAAGAGAGGAAGAAAAAAAATAAAAGAGCCTACTGAAAAAATAATAGATGAGAATTTATCAAACTTATGTAAGGAACTGAACATACAAGGATAGGACAATCCATCAAAAAGACATAATAATTATTAATATATATGCACCCAACTTAGGATCATCACATATATAAAGCAATTATTAACAGGCCTGCCTGGAGAAATGGACAGTAACACAATATTAGTAGGAGACTTTAGCACCCCACTTATACCAACAGATAGACTGTTCAGCAGAAACTCAACAAAGAAACAACTGCCTTAAATTACACATTAGATGTGAGGGACTTAATAAATATATACAAAACATTCCATCCAAAAGCAACATCATACTCAATGGGCAAAAACTAAAACTATTTCATCTAAGAACAGAAAATGATAGAGATGCCTACTTTCACTGCTCCTGTTCGACATAGTACTGGAAGTGCTAGTCATAGTGATCAGACAAGAAGAAGAAATAAAAGGCATCCAAATTGGAAAGGGGGAAATAAAACTGTCATTATTCACAGATGACATAATATTGTACATAGAAAACCCTAAAGACTCCATAAAAAACTACTAGATTTAAAAAATGAATTCAGCAACATAGCATGATATAAAATTAACAACCAGAAATCCATGGCATTTTTATACAGCTTAATAAACTCTCAGAGAGAAAATAAAGAAAAAAATCATATTTATCATTGCAATAAAAAATTAAGAGACTTAGGAATAAACTTGACCAAGGAAGGAAAAGACCTGAACTCGGAAAAGTACAGGACATTGAACAAGGAGATAGAGGAAGATATGCACAGTTGAAGAATATACCACACTCATAGATTGGTTGAATTGATATAATTAAAATGCCCATACCACCCAAAGCAATCTATGGATTCAATGCAATCCCTATAAAAAATTAACAGCATATTTCACAGATCTAGAACAGATATTCCAATAATGAATATGGAATAAAAAAATAAAACCCTGAATAACTGAAGCAATCTTGAGAAAGAAGAATAAAGTTGGAAGGATCTCAATACCTGATATCAAGTTATACTACATAGCCACTGTACTCAAAAAAAGCCTGGTATTGGCATAAGAACAGGCATATAAACCAATGGAACAGAACAGAGAACCCAGAAATCAACCCAAGCCATTATGCTCAATTAATATTTGACAAATGAGGGAAGAGAATACAATGGAGTCAAGACAGTCTCTTCAATAAATGGTGTTTGGAAAATTGGACAGATACATGCAAAAAAAATGAAACTAGACTATCAACTTACAACTTACACAAAAATAAACTCAAAATGGATAAAAGACTTAAATGTGAGACATAAAACAATAAAAATCCTAGAAGAAACCTTTGGCACCAAAATATCAGACATTTCTTGTAGGAATATGTTTACTGATGCATCTCCTAGGACAATGGAAACTAAGGAGAAAATAAACAAATGGGACTATTTCAAAATAAGAAACTTCTGCACAGCAAAAGAAACCATTAACAAAATAACAAGAGAACCCACTTCATGGGAGAACATATTTGCAAATTATACACACGATAAGTGGTTAACTTCCAAAATTTCTATGAAACTCATACAACTGAACAAAAGAAAGATAAGCAATTAAACATATGCAAAGGACCTAAGTAGACACTTCTTCAAAGTGGACATACCGATTGCTAAGAGGCATGTGATAAAATACTCAAAGTCACTAATCATCTGAGAGATGCAAATCAAATCAACAATGGGGTACCACATCACAGCGGTCAGAATGGCTATCATCAACAAATCAACAAATGACAAGTGCTGAAGAGGATGTGGAGAAAAGGGAACCCACCTTGTACACTGCTAGTGGTATGCAGACTGGTGCACCCTCTGTGGAAAACAGTATTGAGTTTCCTCAAAAAAAATTTAAAAAGGAACTCTCATTTGACCCAGTGATCCCACTTCTAGGAATATATCCTAAGAAATAAGAAACATTCATCAGAAAGAATATATGCACCCCTATGTTCATAGCAGCACAATTTACAATAGTTAATATTTGGAAACAGCCTAAGAGCCCTTTAGCAGATGAGTGGATTTAAAAAACATGGTACATCTATACAATGGAATACTATGCAGCTATAAAAAATAAAGAACTCTTACCATTTACAACAGTATGGATGGACCTGGAGAGCAGTAGGCTAAGCAAAATAAGCCAGAGAAAGATAAGTATCATAAGATCTCGCTGATATGTGGAATCTAATGAACAACATAAACTGATGAACAAAAATAGACCTAGATTCATGAAAACATCGAATTTACTATCAAACCTCAGAGAGAATAAGGCAGGGGAGAATGGGGGGCAGGTGAAGAGATCAACTAATCAACTCATATGTGTTTATGCGTAACCCATGGACACAGACAGTAGCATGGTGAAGGCTTTTTAAAAAAGGAAAATATCATATTTAAGAAATAAATAAAAGATTACAAAAATGGAAAAACCTTTAGCTATACTAAGAATAAATGAAATAAGACAAAATCAGAAAGGAAGTTATGAAGTCTACCATAGAAATACAAATTATAAAGGAACACTATGAAAGACTATATGCCACTATATTTGACAATCTAGAAGAAATGGATGCATTATCAAAGTTATGCATCCTTCTGAAACTATATTTTGAAGGGAAAAAATCAAAGTTGACCTATCACTAATAAGGAAATTGAAACAGTAATCAAAACCCTCTGGAAAAAAAGCCATGGATGGACCTTGAGAATTTTAGGCTAAGTGAAATCAGTCAGTCAGAAAAAACTAAGAACCGTATGATTTCACTCACATGTGGATATAAAAGTGAAACTCATAGATATAGCCAATAGTATGGTTACCAGTTGGAACTTGGTTGGAAGAGTAGAAAAGGATAAAGGGGGCCAAATGTATGGTGACAGAAGATGATTTGACTTTGCTTGGAGGGCACAGAATGCAATATATCATAAAAATGTATACTTGAAATCTACATAATCTTATTAACCAATATCACCCAAATAATTTTTTTTTATTTCTTAAAGTATTACAAAGGGTATTACATATGTGTCCTTTTTTTCCCCGCCCTTGACAATCCCCTGGCCTCCCCTACCCCCCAGTGTCTTATGTCCATTGGTTATGCTTATATGCATGCATACAAGTCCTTCGGTTGATCTCTTACCCCCTTCCCTCCTGCCCCCCAACCCTCCCCGGCCTTCCCGCTGCAGTTTGACAATCTGTTTGAGGCAGCTCTGCCTCTGTATCTATTATTGTTCAAAAGTTTATAATGGTCTCTATTATCCATGAATGTGTGAGATCATGTGGTATTTTTCCTTCATTGACTGGCTTATTTCACTTAGCATAATGCTCTCCAGTTCCATCCATGCCGTTGCAAATGGTAAGAGTTCCTTCTTTTTTACAGCAGCATAGTATTCCATCGTGTAGATGTACCACAGTTTTCTAATCCATTCATCTACTGATGGGCACTTAGGCTGTTTCCAAATCTTAGCTATGGTGAATTGTGCTGCTATGAACATATGGGTGCACATATCCTTTCTGATTGGTGTTTCTGGTTTCTTGGGATATATTCCTAGAAGTGGGATCACAGGGTCAAATGGGAGTTCCATTTCCAGTTTTTTGAGGAAACTCCATACTGTCTTCCATAGTGGCTGCACCAGTCTGCATTCCCACCAGCAGTGCACAAGTGTTCCTTTTTCTCCACATCCTCTCCAGCACTTGTCGTTTGTTGATTTGTTGATGATAGCCAGTCTGACAGGTGTGAGATGGTACCTCATTGTTGTTTTGATTTGCATCTCTCGAATGATTAGTGACTTTGAGCATGTTTTCATATGTCTCTTGGCTTTCTGAATGTCCTCTTTTGAAAGGTGTCTATTTAGGTCCTTTGCCCATTTTTTGATTGGATTGTTTATCTTCCTTTTGTTAAGTTGTATGAGTTCCCTATAAATTTTGGAGATTAGGCCCTTATCAGATATAATGTTGGCAAATATGTTCTCCCATGTAGTGGGCTTTCTTGTTGTTTTGTTGATGGTTTCTTTTGCTGTGCAGAAACTTTTTATTTTGATGTAGTCCCATTTGTTCATTTTCTCTTTAGTTTCAACTGCCCTAGGAGCTGTATCAGTGAAGAAATTGCTTTGGCATATGTCTGAGATTTTGTTGCCTTTGAATTCTTCTAGAATTTTTATGGTTTCCTGTCGTACATTTAAGTCCTTTATCCATTTTGAGTTTATTTTTGTGTATGGTGTAAGTTGGTGGTCTAGTTTCATTTTCTTGCATATATCTGTCCAATTTTCCCAACACCATTTATTGAAGAGACTATCTTGGCTCCATTGTATGTTCTTGCCTCCTTTGTCAAATATTAATTGAGCATATTGGTTCGGGCTAATTTCTGGACTCTCTATTCTATTCCACTGATCTATATGTCTGTTCTTGTGCCAGTACCAGGCAGTTTTGAGAACAGTGGCTTTGTAATACAGCTTGATATCTGGCATTGAGATCCCACCTACTTTGTTCTTTCTCAGGATCGCTGCAGCTATTCGGGGTCTTTTTTTATTCCAGATGAATTTTTGGAGAGTTCGTTCTAGATCTTTGAAGTAGGCCATTGGTATTTTAATGGGAAGTGCGTTGAATTTATAGATTGCTTTGGGTAGTATGGACATTTTAATGAT